CGGTGAGCGGCGCAGGGAAGAGAGCGCCGGCACACACACGCAGCCACCTACCGCCCCAACCAACCTCCATGGAAGCCATATTCAGTGCGAAAAATCTCATTCAAATTATTCGCCCCCCCCCTCCTCTTGTTGCCCTCCTCTACCTCCTTCTCCCTTCCCACACTGCTTGCCCTCCTGGACCGGTCCCCCTCCCTGTTCTCCTCCTCGCCCTCCTTCCTCTCTCGGCCCCCCCCCCTTCTCCCCGGTCTCGTCGTCCCCCTCCTTCCCCAGTCCGTTCTTCCTCTCCACTTTGTCCCCGTCCTCCCCCCAACCCCCTTCCTGCTCGCCTCGTCGCCCTCTTTCCCCCCATTTCGATCGTGCTCAGCCTGCTCCCTGCTCCGCCTGCTCCGACCTCCTCGGAGCTTGGAGTGGAGGCCGATGGAGGGGGCAGGGGATCGGGAAGGGAAGAGGAGGAGGAGGAGGAGGAGGAGGAGGAGGAGTAGGAGGAGGAGGAGGAGGAAGAGGAGGAGGGAGGAGGAGGAGGAGGGAGGAGGAGGGAGGAGGAGGAGGAGGAGGAGGGAGGAGGAGGGAGGAGGAGGAGGAGGGAGGAGGAGGAGGAGGAGGAGGAGGAGGAGGAGGAGAAAGAGGAGAAGGAGAAGGAGGAGGGGGGCGGATAATAAGACGAGTTGTAACAAGAACAATGATGAGAAAGAGCAGGTGTAGCAGGAGAAGGGGGGCAAAGAGGAGGAGGAGGAGGAGGAGGTGAAGGAATATCGGGATATTGGTTTGAATCTCCGCGCGGATTTCTTGCATTGGCGTTGGCCCCCCCCATTCTGGCTCGCGGAGCGCGCCAGGGACGGCGCTGGAGGCGCCGCCGGGGAGGGTCTAGCGTCGACCCAAGAAATTCGCGTGGATCTCCGGCATTGTTCTGCTTCTTCCGCAAGCAGCTTGCGGAACGGGGTGCTGTTGCATTGGTCGCACGTGCCCGTCGACGGACCGCCCCGCACGGACAGCCTCAAAAAGCCCTCTGGTGGTCCGGGCCGTTTCGCTTGAGGCATCCTCGCAAGGCTCGAGTCTGAGCTGGCCGGGCTTGGGCGTTTCGCCTGCGAAATCCTCGCAATTCTGTGCTCCGAGCTGCCGCGCGCGATGTGGTCCTGCGCGTTTCGCCCGAGACATGCTTGCAATTCTGGGCTCCGAAATGTGCGCGAGGTGGTCTGGCGCGTTTGATTTGAGATATCCTCACGACTCTGGGCTCCGAGATTCCGCAAGCGAGGTGGCCCGGTGCGTTTGGCTTGAGACATCTTCGCGATTTTGAGCTCTGAGATGCTGCGCGCGAGGTGGTCCAGCGCGTTTCGCTTGAGACATCCTCGTACCTCTGATGCTCGAGGTGCGGCGCGACAGGTGGACCGGTGCGTTTCGCCTGAGACGTCTTCGCAGTTCTTGGCTTTGAGATGCCGCACGCGGGGTGGTCCGGCGCGTATCGGTGCAGACGTCATTGCAATTCTGATCTCCAAGATGCTGAGCGAGAGGAGGTCCAGTCTGCTTCGCTTGAGACATCCTCGCATGCATCTCTGGGCTCGGACATGCTGCGCTCGAGGTGGTCCGGCGCGTTTAGCTTGAGACATTGTCGCATCTCTGGGCTCCAGCTCCGCGCGACAGCTTGGGGCGAGGCTCGTGCGGGGGACCATCGTTCAACTCTGCCTGAGGATAGAAGGAGCTAACAACAAATTGCGTGTTCTGAAAATAATTCGCTCAGTTCCAAGGTGCCGCGCGAGAGGTGGTCTGGATCGCTTCGCCCGAAATATCCTCCCGTGTTTGCGCTCCGAGCTGCCGCGCGCGGGGTGGTGCGGCGCGTTTCGCCTTTCGGCGCGCGAGATGGTCTGGCGCGTGTGACCTGAGATATCCTCGCCACTCTGGGCTCCGAGCTGCCGCGCGAGAGGTGGTGCGGCGCGCTTCGCTTCAGACACCTTCGCAACTGCAAGTGCCGAGCTGCCGCGCGATCGAGGTGGTCTGGCGCGTTTCGCCGTCGACATCCTGACAACTCTGGGCTCCGAGATGCTGCGCGCGGGGTGGTCCAGCGCGCTTCGCCCGAGACATCCTCGCAACTCCAGGCTCCGAGAGGCTGCGCGCGGGATGGTTTGGTCCGTTTCGCCCGAGGCATCCTCGCAACTCCGGGCTCCGAGATGCCGCGCGAGAGGTCGTCGGGCGCCGTTCCGCCAAAGGCATCCTCACACAGGTGGGCTCTGAGAAGATGTGCGCGAGGCGGACCCGTGCGACTCGCTGGCGACATCCTCGACTTCTGGGCTTCGACGTACTGCGCACGAGGTGGTCTGGCGCGTTTCGCCGGAGACATCCTCAAACCTCTGGGGGGGTGGGAGTATAGGGAGGAGGAGTCAGACCCAGACGAACCCTTCGACTGCACCTCTGTTCTCAAATTGTGCTCTGGGAGGGATCTGGGCGCCGCCTGGTCCCTCCTCGTTTGCCGCGCGAGAGATGGTCTGGCGCGTTTGGCGCCAGACAT